AACTGATTTACAGTCTGGGTATAGTGATGCAGGACTCTGGCCCCAGCTCTTGGAGGTGGAGACAAGAGTTTAGGGCCAAATTGGGTTACGTAGGATATTATGTCTTTAAATACAGCAGACTCGGTTTCCTGAGTATGGGGATTACACGTGTACTACCAAATCCAGCACATGCGAACCTGGCATTTTTGTTTTGCTGTTTTTCTTCTGTGGTACTGGGGGTCAAGCCAGAGCCTCATAGATGTTCTGCTCTGAAGGAACTGAATCTCTGGATGTGTCTTTTCCACTTAAGCTGGGCATGGTCATGTGCCTGCCTGTGACCCCAGGGCCATGTGAGGGATGGAGACAGGATTGTTGGGCCTGCTAACCACCAGCCTGACTAGGTCAGTGTGAAGTCCTGTTTCAAGGGGAGAAGGCTGAGAGTGAGAAAGCAGGGCCCCTGACCTTCTCTGGCCTTTTTGCAGGGGTGCACACCCTCCTCTCAGTGCATATACATCCTACACATGCACATGCACGCGCACACACACACACACACACACACACAAAGACATTAAGAGAAGAACTCCACAAGTGCACACACTTGTTTTTTATTTTTTAATTTCATTTTACATTCCAACCACAGTTCTCCCTACCACCCCTCCTCCGCTCCACCACCTATCACTCCAACCCCCAACACCTGTTGTGGAGGCACACAGTAATCTCAGCCCTCAGAGATGAAGGTAGGAAGATCTCTAGGTAGAGGCCAGCCCAGGTTACATAATAAACAGTCTTAAAAACAAGTGCAAAGGGAGGTGGCTTGGTGATTAAGAGCACTTGCTACTCTTCCAAGGGGTGCTGGCTAGGTTCCTAGCACTCACATGGGCTGCTTAAAAATTCCTGTAGCTTCAGCTCCAGGGCTTTGACATCCTCTGCTGGTGCCTGAGGGCTCCCGGTGTACATCTGTTGCATATGTGCACAGAATAAAAAGATTTCTTTTTAAATGCAGATAGACAAAAAGATTGAGTATTTAAATTCTTCATTACTGCTCCTCTTACTCTAAAGGCTTCTTGTTGGGGGGGGGGGTTGTTTTCTATTTTGTTTGTTTTCTGTACCAGGGTTTCATTGTATAGCCTTGGCCATACAATAAATTCCAGGCCAGCCTTCTGAGTGCTGGGATTAAAGGCATGCACCACCACCACATCTGGCTATGATTTTTCTTGTTTACAAAAATTTTCTATCATAGAAAACTTTAAATACATAACAAAGTAAACATATGAGATAACAAGCTCCTGTGTACTTAGAACTCTGTTTTAAGGGTCCTTAATGTGGGACTTATCATTTATACATCTCCCAATTTTCCTTCTTACTCAGTTTTTTTTTTTTTTTTTTTTTTTTTTTTTTGTTTGTTTGTTTGTTTTTTTTCAAGACAGGGTTTCTTGTATTGCTTTGGAGCCTGTCCTGAAACTTATTCTGTAGACCGGGCTGTCCTCGGAACTCACAGAGATCCTCCTGCCCCTGCCTCCTGAGTGCCACCAACACCCAGTTTACTCTAAATTTTTTAAAATAAAATAATTATTTTTTATTTTATGTATATGGATGTTTTCATGTATGTATGAATACCACAGTTGTGCCTGCTGCCCGTGAAGGTCAGAAGAGGGCAATGAATTTCCTGGAACAGGAGTTAACAGAAATTTGTGAACTAACATATGGGTGCTGTCAATCAAACCCTGGTCATCTATAGGAGCAGCCAGTGTCCGTAATTGCTAAGTCATCATTCTAGCCCCTTAATTTTTTTCTTTTTTCCTTCCCCCTCTGTTAATTTTATACATATATACAATGTATTTTGATTGTGGTTACCCCCATTTTCCCCTCCACTTCTTCCCCCTTCCCTAATATTCTTTTTTTTTTAACCCATTGAGTCTGTGTACACATGAATTGTAGGGTCATCCATTAGAACATGGGTAACTTATCAGTGGTTACACCCAAATAAAATGCCTTGCCCTCTTTCAGAGCCATCAGCTTAGCACCTTAGGCAGTCATGGGTCTTGCTATCACCTCCCCATCCATGCTAAAATTTTGACTGGCTTGATCTCATTTAAGTCTTATGCTAACCACACAGTTTCCGATGAGGTCATGAGTGCAACAGCCATGCTGTGCCCAGAAGACAGTGTTTCAGAGCATTTCTTCAAATCTCTTACATGTTTCCTGCTCTCGTATGATGTTCCCTGAGCTTTGGGATAGGGATTTGTATAAATGTCCCATTTAGTAAGCACAGTTCCTTATTCTCAGCACGCTGACCAGCTAAGAGTTTTTGTATTGACTACTGCCTGCTATAAAAAGCTCCTGGATGGCATCACCCTACATGTGGAGTGGGGGTTGGGTAGGAGGGGAGGGTGGGTGGGGTGCATGTGAGGGGGGGAGAGAGGGAAAGAGGGAGGGAGAGGGAACTGGGATCAATATGTAAAAAAATAATTAAAAAAAAGCTTCTGAGACAAAGGTTGATCGAAGCACAGGTCTGTGCCTATGAATATAATAATTAGAAAGCAGTTTGACTGCATGGCTGTTTAGCAAAACAACAATAGTAGATTCTGTGAGGGCCGATGACCTCCTCACTCATACAGGCTTCTGACCAGATTTACAGTAGAGGTGTGAATTCCCTCCTGTGGAGTAGACTTCAGATCTGTTCAGAAATCATGTGGCTGCCACCACAACCTTTATTGGCACATTTCCTGGGGTAGGTCCAGTGCTGAGGAAGACAGTTGATAACTTTTCTCCCCGGCAGCCATATAGCACTGTCCAGCCCCATGAAAGCAAGCAAACCGTGGGGGTGGGGGTGGGGTCTTCCTCACCAGCTCCAGATTGATTTTTCTGTGTTGCAGTGAAAATTGGGTGGTGTCTTCAGCAACAGGGTCTCATCATCTACTTGTGATGGGCAGTCAGTCACCCAGTAGCAATGGCCTGTGTTACTTTGGGGGCCTCCAGAGGCTCTCTGATGAATCATTCTTTGGGGATCCCATGACTGGCACTGAAATTTTCATTTCATAACCCATGTCTCCTAGGAGCATTATGTGGGATGTCTCTGTTCAAACGCCTCACTCCCCCCCTTAGTTAGCTTATAGGTGAGCCCTTTTTCTAAAGTGTCATTTTAACTTTCCGCTGGCAAACTGAGTCATGTCTGCTTCATCTTCTCTGCAACATTTGAGTTCTCGTTCATTTTAACCTTAGTGTTTTGGTGTGTATATATTCTTCAGAGGAAATTCAGAGTAAATTAAGAATAAATTAAGATATATTTTATTTTTTGAGTTTTATGGCTTATGGTAATTGTAAATGCACTAAGAACTTTTAAAACATGAACTAGAGTGACTGTTCATCAAGATTCTGAGTAATGCCCACAAGATCTAGAGTTTGCTAATTGTTTACATTTATTTTATTATTTCCAAACTATCTCTGATGTATTTGTTTTTGTTTTGTTATGAGATAGTATCTTACAGTGTAGGCCAAGCGTGCCTTGAACTCACATGCCTGCCTCAGCATCCTAGTAGCTGAGATTATAGGCATAAGCAGGCTTGTGACTTTTAAGGAATTATAATGTTGTAGCTAGGTGTGATGTTGCATGCCTGTAAACCCAACACTTGAAAGATAAAGATAATAGTGTCAGGTCACTATTATCAAGGTCATTCTTGATGACAGAAAGTTCAAGGCTAGTCTGGGATATGTGGTGAAACCCTGTTTTTTTTTTTTTTTTAAACCAAACTAAAACTAAAACCAGGAAGCTGGAGAGATGGCTCAGTAGTTAAGTCTTCCAGAGGGACAGTTTGATTCCCATGGCTTCTCATAACTATCTGCAACTCCAGTTCCAGAGGATCTTACATCCTCTTCTGGCTCCACAGAGAACAAACATGCAATTGATGCACAACATACATGTCAAAACACCAATACACATAATAAAAACAAAACAAAGCCAGGATTGTCTTGAAAAAACAAAAATAAAAAAGCAGAAACAACTTGTTTAAGATCAGCTTTTGAGTTTATAAAGTTATATAGTTGCTTTTTGAGATAAATATATGAATGTTGCTTTAACAGTATCCGGTGCTGGATAATGAATAAAGAGCTTTACTTAGTATACTATTCTGGCATTGGCCAGTGGGGTATTGGCACATGCCCAGCTCTGTTTAGGACTACTTGGTAGGTAGCATCTCGTGATAAGAACATGTGTGAGCTTGGTGAAAAATGCATTTTTGTTCTTTTGTTTTTTAAGAGATGAGAATCTTGGTGTGTCTCCTAAGGTGGCCCTGAACTTACGGGCTCAAGTGATCTTCCTGCCTGATGCCTAAGACTGGGGTTACAAGGCCCATATGACTATGTCTAGTGAGAAACATGCACTTAAAGGGGAGTTAGAAAGTCCCTTATAAAAAACCATACTGTCAGAGACTGTACTACACGGGACTTTACTTCTCTCTCAATGTGCAGCTCTCTTAACCTTGTATGTGATTCATTTTTCAAAAAGTCTGCTGTCTCAATGTTGCCACACTGAGGACTAAACACACAGCTTTTGGGGAGACTCCCCATTGCTAAACCACTGCCCCCCAAAGTTTTAGATTTACACTTTGGAACTCAGGGTATTATTTTCAGTCTCTGTGAGTCCTATAACACAGTCTTAACATGTATATGTTAGCAGAGAATATTGTCACTAATTGCAGTCTTTGTCAGTGGTATTTCACAAGTAACCAGTATTGGCGGTTTGGACAAAGTTTCACCAAATGAATAGTGTTTATAGCTTTTCAGAGACTTTTGTATTTATTTATTTTATTTTATTTTATTTGGTTTTCCGAGACAGGGTTTCTTTGTAGCTTTGGGGCCTGTCCTGGAACTGGCTCTTGTAGACCAGGCTGGTCTTGAACTCACAGAGACCACTGCCTTTAAACTGTAGTTAAAAAATTAACTGCAGTTAATTTTTAAAAAATTAGTGACTCAGCTCTTGTACTGTTATCAGATCTTAATAGAAGTTGTTTGTTTTATTTTAGTGATGTCCTTGCATTGCCCATTTTTAAGCAAGAAGAGTCAAGTTTGCCTCCTGATAATGAGAATGAAATCCTACCTTTTCAGTATGTTCTTTGTGCGGCTACCTCTCCAGCAGTGAAACTCCACGATGAAACCTTGACATATCTCAATCAAGGTCAGATGCTTTCTCACTTTTGGCTTGTGATATGTGACTGTAGGTGCTTACATGACAGAGGTGTGACCTGTCACACTAGAGCTTTCTGAGACGATGTGTCACTGACTCCTTTGTCTGTCTGCCCATTTCCAATTCATGATCCTTGGTTATCCTCATTTGGATTACTCTACCTGGCTCTGCTCTTTACCGGTTACATGGCCTTGGACAGGTTGACTTTTTGTTTTACTTTCCTTATCTGTAAAAGTGGGATTGACTATAACTTAGAAAGTTATATCTATTACAGTAATAGCTTCTAGTTGGTACTAGTAGTGTTGTTGTGTATATTCAACAACTGTATTCTTTTTTCTGAGTCTAGATAAGTGAGTTATGATAGGTGTAATTTGTAATTAATTTTCTTCTAGGACAGTCTTATGAAATCCGAATGCTAGACAATAGGAAACTTGGAGAACTTCCAGAAATCAATGGCAAGTTGGTGAAGGTAAAATAAGCAACCTGTTTTTCTGTGTAATAGCCTTTGACTGATCCTTTTAGTTTTTTCTTTATTTTTTTTGTTTGTTTGTTTTTGTTTTTGTTTTTGTTTTTTTTGCAAAGTCTCATTATATGCCCTTGGCTGGCCTTGAATTCTGAATCCTGCTCTACTTCGTAGAGTATAATTATAGGAATGCACCATCATTCATCGCTGCTCTTTCTTTCTTTTTTTCTTTCTTTTTTGTTTTTTGTTTTTTTTTTCCTGTTTCATATTCGTTTGGATCCTTATAGGCAGGGCTAAATGATACATCTTTTGTCTGCCACCGTTGCCTGACTAAGATAAACTGACAACCTTTGGGGTCAGATTAAGCCTTACTGTTCACATGGAGTTGTTAATTAACTATGTGACTGTGGGTGTATACACACACCACGGATTGAGTGTGGAGGTCAGAGGACATCTTGAGGGAGTCATTTTTCTCTTCCTATCATGTGGGTTCCAGGGATTGAATTCAAGGATGTTTGTTTTAACTGCTAAGCCATCTTGCTGGACCTCACATGGGTTTCTCAGAGTTGCAGAAGGCTTGCAAGTCCTTGTTCAGGAGAGGTTCCTAGTGGAGTTGTTTTTGGATGGTATAAATCAGCTTCTTAAGAATTTTAATTTTAATGACAATTTTGTGTGTGTGGTGCTGGGCATGGAAGCCAGAGCCTACTGTATGTTGGATAGGTCTCTGCTACTGCTACATGCCCCCACCCCCAGCTGTTCCTTAAGAGTTAGGTTTTGGCCGGGTGGTAGTAGCACATGAGCCAACAGTGTTTTCTAGCAGTATGAAAAAGATGTTGACTTTGCTACTGAATGCATCATCTAGGACTACCTACCCAATGAAGGAGACCATGTACACTCTTTGTTCATAAACTAAAAATTAATAACCAAACCAAAACATCAGCATAACAGCTCTTGTTGATAAATAGAGTTTTCTTTGTTGACTGACAGTAAGGATTTGGAGAACTAACAGCACACTTGGTACATTTTTATCAGCAGCTGTAAAAGTGGTGGGCGGGACTGACAGCTCCCTCTACTAAGTGAGGATAACATAAGGAAAGTTTCTGGAAGTAGACTCATGACCATCAGTGTTATAGGTTGTATGTAGGATTAGCAGGTGGATCCTAGTATGTGTTTCATACATACCTGGAGGATTAGACTGGATTACGTGATGAGATAGGAATGCTTCACAAGGCTGATGGGATGGCTCACCAGGCAAAAGTGTTTGCTGCCAAGGGTAGATGACTTGAATTCTGCTGTTGGCACCTACATGGCATATGGTATCTGGCATGCATACATCCCCCCAGTAAGCAAAGAAAGAGGGACTGGTGTAATGAGAATTACAAAGGGAAGAAGTACTTCACATAATGGTTATGATGGTTGGAGGATTGGGAGTTCATAGCTAGACTGGGCTGTGTAGTGACTTTGAGACCAGACTGGGCTCACATAAAAAGAAAGACTTCACTCAGGAGTCCATCAGCAATTCAACTAACTGTACAGATGATGGATGATCCATCCCAGCACTTGGGAGGCTGAGGAAGGAAGATCACGAGTCTGATACCAGGACTACAGAGACAGCTCAGTGGATAAAAAAACTAGCTGCCAAACCTGCCGGGCTAAGTTTGATTCCTGGGATCCACATGGTAGAGGGATGCATATGAATACTGTGGCGCATCCACAAATGGGCACATGCACTCACACACAGATAGCAATAAATGTATCTGTTTTTACATTTAAAGTCTGATGCTAGTCTGAGACATAAAGCTTCCTGTCCTCCACCTGCACACCAAACACAGTCATTTGGGGGAGCTAAGACTCACACAGACTGCTTGGAAGTCTTCAAAAGGCACAGAAAATTTTAGGTTGTGTCTAGAAGCCAACTAGCATCAACTCTGCTAGTTTTCCTTTGTCTGAACTGGTTTTCTAGACTCCTGTGGACTGACATTGTCCTTCCTTTAGAGCATATTTCGGGTAGTGTTCCATGACAGGCGGCTGCAGTACACTGAGCATCAGCAGCTGGAAGGCTGGAGGTGGAACCGGCCTGGAGACAGGATTCTCGACATAGGTAAGTCAAGAGAAGCTGCTGCTTGTACAACATCTGTCTGAGTCTGGAGTTGGTTCCCTATTTGACTACCCCTGATTTGCACACTTCAAAGGCTAAGTTAAGTTAGGCGGGACCCTAAAATGACTTAACTGCTAAATATAAGAAAACCACTTGTAAGATGGCATCAGGATTGAAGTAGGACATGAACACCAAGTTCCAAAGCAGTTTGTTCATTGTTCTAGAGTGTTTTTGTTTTGAACTGTGACAATACAAAATATGTATTCATATATAATGTCAAACTTTATTTTTTTCCATTTTAGACAGACAAATAATATTAAATGCATTTACTTTGCCTAATTATCACTATTATCCATTTGCAGAACTCATCTTGTGAGAATGAAATCTATACTCTATATAGTAGTTTTTTGTTCTGTTTTTCCCCAGCCCATTAACCCCTCTCTTGCCCTGTCACTATCTGCTCCAGGCAGCTCATGCAGTATCTGTCCTTTGTGACCTGACTTCTGTGAGTTGGTTTTAGCCTTTTAAGGTTCATATATTACAGCATGTGTCAGAATTTATTTTCTTTTCAAGGCAGAAGGGGATCCAGTGTCCACTGCATTCTTTTAACCCACTCACCTGTGAGGACATGGGTAGCTTTTACTGTTGAGCTCTTTTGGATAATGTTTCTGTGCACATGGACATGATAATATTTGTTTGAGTCTCTGCTTTGGTTTCTTCTTTGTCTGAAGCAAGATCTCACTCTGTAGTTCAGGCTGGCCTTGAACTCATGGTGGTCCTCCTGACTCAGAGACTTCTGTTTTCATCACTAAGAAGTAGGAGTGTTGGACCAAATGCCAGTTATGTCTTTACTTTATTTATTTTTTTGAATGCCTGTAATGCATTTTAACTAGTAGCGTTCACATACTCTCTGTTTTGACAATATTTGTAAATTTCTGTTCCCAGTTCTCAAGAGGTAGAAGCAGGAAGATTGTGTTTCAAAAAGTTTCATAATTTTTATATTAGAGCTAGTATATAGACTTGTCTCATCACAGTCAGTTGCTTTCTTACTTAAACCCACACACAGTCTCTATGGGCATGGTGGCACCTGATTATAGTCCCAACTACTCAAGAGGTTGAGGCAGGAGAATTGCTTGAGCCTAGGCAGTGTATTGAGACCCCCATCTTAAAAACAAAAACAAGAAGCCCTCAGAATTGTTCTGTGATTTCTATTATATTTCTCAGATATTCCAATGTCTGTGGGTATCATTGATCCCAGGGCGAATCCTACCCAGCTGAATACAGTGGAGTTCCTGTGGGACCCTGCAAAGAGGACATCTGTGTTTATTCAGGTAAGGCATTGCAGTTGCCTGATACTACAGTTATAAAGAGCACCTGATACTACCAGTTTGTTTGTTTGTTTTTAAGGACTAAAACACATCAGGGGCTAGAGATGTAGTTCAGTAGTATTGATGTTTAATAAGGATCAGGAGAAACAAGTAGGCCGAATAGATGTTTATTCAGGGAGAAATAACTTACAACATAGACAGATGAACAACATCAGGTTCCCGGTCCCAAGGATGCCTCCAGATGTACTCCTGTCCCCATGCTGCAAACAAGAGAGCTCCCCGAGCCCCCTTCTCAGACTTAGTTCCCCCAGGTAACGTCCAGCCCTGTCACCACCCCAATGGGCGTGGTCTATGCCACAGGTGCGGACAAGGTGAATATCTCACTACAATTCCCCTTTTAGTCTAAAGAAAAGATTTGGGCTAGATACAAAAACTATATACAAAACAGTGAATGACAAGTGTGTTCTAAGAAAAGGAAATCGAGAACATACAAACTTCAGACCTAACTATTTAGTCCTAGGGTGAAGTCGAAACGGGGTTAACAATAGAGTTGTCCTAAGCTGGAAAGTTTAAGTCTAGTACCTAATATATCTAGCTAGGAAGAGAATAATAGTTGTGATAATTTTATCTTCAACCTCATCAAAGACCTGAGAAGGAAATTAACAATACTAGGGTAGGCAGGAAGTGCGGATGGGCAAATTCCAAATGGTGCAGCAAGGACAGAAACAGCATGCTACTTGGACAGTCACCCAAGGTCTCACAGCAAAGTTGGTATAGCCAGTTTTGGCTAAGGCCTAGAGTACCTGACAGACCAGAACAAAAGCAGGGAGGTAAAAAGGCTGTCTTAACCTGACTTGGCAGGGTTCAGCAGTCTTCTATATTTGACTCCTGCAAGCACATAGGACCACATGTCCAAATCAGTGGTCGAGGTGGGGGCAGTTCTTTGCCCAAGAGGCCATAGCTGAAGTAAGAATGGACTCCAGAAGGAGCGATAACAGTATCCAACATTTTTCAGGAAAGTGCATGGTTCTGTCAGGAGCAATAGTGTCTCATGTCAACAGAGTACTAATATTAAAACATTTAAATGCCAAGTTCTGCAGGTCTATGAAGTGTTTGAAGATTAAGCATCTGTGTCTGACTAATCTCATAGTTATAGGAAACATGGGTGAAGATAATCTGTAATACTCAGGAACCTAGCTATAACACTGATTGAAACTTCCCTGAGTAAAGCAGGGACAAATACTAAGCAATATAACTATGTACATGTATGTATACATACATGAAAATCCATAAAACAGAGGTAAAGTAGAAAGAAATGTCTAGACCAGAGGTAGAACTATAAAGTACAGCATGATAAAAATATCCTAAATTGTATCAATATACAAAAATGTCTTGAACATAAGTAAAAGTATACATACATAGAATATGGTAAGGATATTGTGCAAAATCGTCATAACTGGAGAGATTTTCACAATATGACAAAATATACAGTTTATATACAATTCTGGGAAGGGAATAAACTTAATTTTACTTAGGTTATCACATATAAGAATCTATAACAATGTAAGCTGTATAATACTAATATCTCACTATTACTAAAATAATTCACAAGAAGATAGGCTAATCTACCCATTTCCCATCTAATCCATACCTTTCCCAACCATACCCTATGCCTGTCTAAAAGAGATACCCGAGTCTAAGCATCACCTTCCATACCCAACCCAATGCCAAGAGTAAGGGAAGGGGGCGTCGCTATTTTAAGATTACTTCCTGTTGAACTGAGACAATGATTGCTCCATGGGATCCTGTAGGAAGAAAATTTTTAGCAACAAAATTTCGACAGGACTGGCTGTGACATATGTAGCTAGTCACTGTGTAGGAGGAAATGCTTGACTGGAGTTCTGTCTGAAATTCTGGCCAGGGTATAATAAGTAGGTGCACCATAACAGCTGGTGCACCATAACAGCTAGGTAGTCAGGAGTTGTCTCAAGCAAAACAGTCTCAAACCGGTTTTAGTGTGATGTTTGTAGTCCAGATGCATCAGGTTGAGTCAAGTGGAAATGACGAAGTGGGGCCCCATCTTCTTTCCGGAGAGTTCAGGGATTGCTGTTAGGAATTGTTATCATCCTGGTGGAAAACTTAAACATCCAATATCAAAGTAAAAATTTCAAGTTTTAAGATATGCATATAGGGAAAGGCAACAATAAGCATCAAAATGTACATGAGAAAATTAGGATTCCAGAAAGAAAATTGCATATAAGCAAGGGAGTCCCCAGATTTTGTTTTATTCTGCCTTACACCAATTGGCTCTTGATATAAGGCAGAAACAATGAATGTAATCTTAACAACATGCTTGAATTTAGAGAAGGAAAGCCAAATCCAACTCCAAAGCCAGCATTGGTTTACGTGAATTGGGACTAGAGGAATACTAGATAGTAAACTTCTGACGCCAAGAGAGAAATAGATTTCTGTATAGAAATAGTTTACTAGAATTAAATAATTTTTATCATAAATCAGATTCCTCTTCATTAAGTGATTCTGGAGAGCTATCTTCTCTTCTGTAGGTACCTACTTGTTCAGTGTCTCTTGGCTGTTTGAAGATGGGTATTCTCTGTTTTCCTGTAAGGACAGGAAAAGAACACTTCCCCTACCTTTGAGAGGTCTCCACATATCTCATGGGACCCAATTTGTTGGATGACTTGTCATTTCTCTTCATTAAGATGTTTCTCGTGTTCAACTTGGATCTTGATCAACTTAGATAGTATCCATAGCTTTTCTTCCCCTGTAGATACAAATGCAAAACTCCTACCCCAATGTAACACATATCCACGTTTCCATTCTGAGGTCAGTACATCCTTGAAGTACACTGGCTGATTTAGTTCAGAAGTTTTTTCTATTGTCCAGTGTCTTTCTGCAGCTGTTTTTCCTTTTTCATCAGCATTAAGAAAGTTTAATGTTAATAAAGCATTATGTAATCTGTGTTTGGGTGTCTTGGTTCCTCCTCCCTGTTTATGGAGCATTTCTTTTAAAGTATGATTGGGTCTCTCAACTACTTCTTGTGGTATACCAGTTATGTGCTTTATGTTATAACACTCAAAAAACTGTTTCAATTTGCTGGAAACATATGCCAGAGCATTGTCAGTTTTTATTTGTGCAGGTTTGCCCATAATGGCCATTACCTCTAATTGGTGTGTGATAACAGAATCAGCCTTTTCAGAGCTCAGAGCAGTGGCCCATTGAAACCCTAAAAATGTATCTATAGTGTGGTGCACGTATTTCAATTCTCCAAATTCTGTAAAGTGAAACATAGCCATTTGCCATATTTCATTTCTATTTATACCTTTAGGGTTACTGCCTGGTGGTAAAGGAGTTTGGTTATAGAATGAGCATTAGGACATTTCCTTACTATTTCCTTAGCTTGTTGCCAAGTGATAGAAAAATCCTTTTTTTCTTATGAAACTCTGAGGCTTCTAGCACACTTTCTATTAATAACTGATCAATTTCATCATTGCCTTGTACTAGGGGACCTGGCAGACCCGTATGGGATCTGATGTCTGTTATATATATAGGATGAGTTCTATTTCTGATAGTATCTTGTAACTGTATAAACAATGAAGTTAATTCTGTATCGTCGGGAATAAATTCTGCAGTCTCAATGTTTAAGATGACTCTCTCTGCGTATTGAGAGTCAGTAACTATATTGAGGGGTTCTGTAAAATCCATAAGTACCATGAGAATGGCGTACTATTCTGCCTTTTGTACAGAATTGTAAGGGCTTTGAACTACTTTACTTATTTTTCCTGATTTATATCCTGCCTTACTAGATTATTTTGCATCAGTGCAGAATGTAGGAACTCCAGAGATAGATGTTTTTCTTACAATGCGTGCAAGGATCCAAATTGTTTTCTTTATGAATTTGATTCTTTCAGTTTTGGGATAATTGTTGCTAATCATTTCCAAAAAATTACTGCATGCTCTCTGCCAATAGTCATTATCTTTCTATAAGGAGGAAATTTCTTCATTAGTCAAAGGTACTATAATTTCTGTTGGGTCCCTTCCTGTTTGTTGACGAAGTCTTAATTTACCTTTTATAATCAAGTCAGAGATCTTTTCTATATATGTTTTCAGTTTTTTATTCTGTTTATGTGGTAGAAATATCCATTCTAATATGATATCTTCCCTCTGCATCAAAATCCCTGAAGGATATTTTCTAGATGATAATGTAACCAGAATACAGTCTAGTTTTGTATCCACACGGTCCACATGTGCTTCTAGTACCCTCTTTTCTACCCATTCTAATTCCTTTTCAGCTTCAGCTGATAGTATTTGTGGACTATTCAAGTCCTTGTCCCCTTTCAGGATCATTTTCAAATTTTTCAAATCATGCCCTTCTACTCCAATAGTGGTTTGCAGTTGAGAAATCTCTCCTAGTAATTTTTGAAGATCATTAAGAATCTAGTAGAGATCTCTTCTGTTCTGTACTTTTTGTGGTCTAGTTTTCTGTAAACCTATATCCTAAATAGTTGATAGAATCTCCTTTTTGTATTTTTTTTTTGGGGGGGGGTACAATTTGTAATCCTAGCAAGTCCCCTAGTACAAGGCAATGATGAAATTGATTGGTTATTAATAGGAAGTGTGCTAGAAGCCTCAGAGTTTCATAAGAAATACCACATGAACAGCAAAGGTTTAAAAAAAGTAAATTTCTCAAACATTTTTTCTAATATTTCTACTTTAGAATCAGCTAACAATATATCATCCATGTAATGGTAGATTATGGATTGTGGAAACTGTTTACGAATAATTTCCAATGGTTTTTGTACAAAATATTGGCACAGGGTGGGGCTATTTAGCATTCCCTGTGGCTAAAACTTCCATTGATATCTCTTCACCAGTTGAGAATTATTATAATTAGGTACCAGGAAGGCAAATTTATCTTGTTCTTGTAAAGGTATAGTGAAGAAGCAATCCTTTAAATCAAAAACTATAATAGGCCATTCTTTAGGTATCATTGAAGGCAAGGACATTCCAGGCATTCCAGGCTGTAGAGAACACACTTGCTGGATAACTTTATTGATGGCTCTCAGGTCTGTAAGCATTCTCCATTTGCCAGATTTTTTTTTTTTTTTTTTAAATAACAAATATAAGAGCGTTCCAAGGGCTGGTAGATTCCTCGATATGTCCAGCATTTAGCTGTTCCTGAACCAGGTTTTCTAAAGCCTCTCTAACTTCTCAGAGGTCATAGGCCATTGTCATACCCAGACAGGTTCATCTGTTAACCATTTTAAGGGTAGGGCTTTTGGTTCCTCTGTTTGTTTGGCACTTGTATTCTGTTTTTGTACAGCCTGGATATTTGGTGTCTGTCTTGTATAGTATTTTATAATACTTTTTCCACAATCATAAGGTCGTTTATGGTTCATATCTAATACTGGAGGAATGTTAATCTGTGCACTCCATTGCTGTAATAGATCACGACCCCATAGGTTTATTGCTGTATCAACCATATATGGTCTCAACCTTCCTCTCTGTCCTTCCAGTCCTATACATTCAATCCATCTCATGCTCTGTTTTACCTGAGACAGAGTTCCAGTCCCTACGAATTGAATATTTACTTCTTGCAGGGGCCATCTTGGAGGCCAAGATTTATTAGTTATGATAGTTACGTCAGCCCCTGTGTCAACAATGCCTCCAGACTGTTATTCATATTAACTATCAATCTAGGCCTTTGACTGTGTATAGAGGTTTGCCAATATATATATATTTTGTTTCCTTCTTTTATGTTTGATTCAACTTCCATCACTAGTTTGTCATCCAGAGCGGTATGAGTATTTACAATAGGCACTGGATTTTCTAATTGTCCTGTGGGAGATTGCCCTTCACTGTGACTGGGAATGTCCAGAGCACCTTTGACATGGGGGCTTTTGAGAGGCCCCCAAAGAGCTTCCTGATTGAAAAGGGTTTCCTTGCTTGTCTCTGGTTGATATACATTCATAGTTTCAGTGTCGGCCTTTGCCACACCTTCTCCATAACCCAGATGGCCCTCCATTCTAATTGAGAGGAGTTTTCAAGGACAGCTGTTACTAATTGATCCCAATCCTCAGGGATTCTTTGCCCATGATTCTATTAATTGCTTCACATACGGTGAATGCATACCATAAGAGAGTACTGCTTCCTTTATACCTTTTAAATCTTTCATAGGTATTGGTTTCCACTGATATGCAACGATACCTTTTGGGTGTTTTTTTTTGTTTTGTTTTGTTTTGTTTTTTTTTTGCTGGTTTTTCATTAATAGATACAGGGGAAAAAACTCTGGCCCTAAATGGTGTAGAAAATTTTAAGTCTCTTTCATGGAAGAGCAAAGTTACACAGTGTGTTCAAGGCAGTCTGAGCTATATGAGCTGGTGTCTCAAACAGTAAACTAGCAACAGCATAGGTAGACATGTTGGTGTATGCCTTTAATTCCGACACTGGCAGATTTCTATGAATTTGAGGCATGCCTAGTCTACATATCAAGATCCAGGACAGCCAGAGCTACATAGAGAAACTCCCATCTCAAAACAAACACAAGAATCTTGTGTGTGCTGGAGTTGTGTGTGTGCGCATGTGGAAGAGTATGGGTGCTGGGGATTGAGCCTGTGGCCTTCTGCATGCTAAGCATACATTCTTTCACAGAACTGCACCCTGGTTGTCAGGGATCTGGCCTTTCAGGTTCAGGCATTTCCATGTGAAGAGTTTTGAATTGTTCTTCTAATTTTATGAAGTTTATTTACTTATAGCTCTCCAGAGTATATATTACCATTCTTTGATTGTAGATAATTTGCCTAACAATTATTTACAGGTAAATTGTTCTATTTTTCATTGTAATCTATAGTTATTTTAAACATATATATATACTTAAAGTTTGATTTGCATGTGTGATTATGTCCAATTCTTTTATTTGTAATAATTTAAACCAGTAGTTCATTAAGTACTTACCATTGAGATCACTATGTTAGTACTTTGTAAACATTATTTTAAGACTTTGAAAAATGTCCTTTTATATTTATAATAAATAAAAATATTTCTTATTATTTTTAGATTGTGTGAGTTTGTGCGTGAGTGCAGGTGCCTGAGACCAGAGACATTTAAATCCATGAGAGCTGGAGTTATGGGCAGTTGTGATCCACCTGATGTGGGTGGGAATTGAACTTGGGTCCTCTCTAAGAATACTGTGTGTTTTTTAACAACTGAGCTAAATGTGTAGCTCCAGGAATAGTTTCTGAGGCTTAGAGTGAGTTGATCGAAGCTAGTGAGAGGTCAGCTAGGAGAGCTGCACTTAGGACCAGCAGTCTTAGACTTCAGCAGTAACCAAGCAAATCTTCCCCTATTACATCTGAACTTTCATATTCCCAGCCTGATTGTGCCGCCTTTTAAAATTTAGATGAAAGTTCACAAACGTTGTTTGGGTAGCTCAGTGTTTTCAGAGGAGTTAATACATTAAGTTCCTCAAACAGCCTTTTGTTATTGTTGTTTTGATGTCTTGGATGGCATTAGGTCTGTAAATTTACTTGCTTACATTTGTGAATTTTCTCCATTAGACTATAAGAAATGAAATGACTTTAATATGTGTGTATTGATAAATGCCTATTAAAAGTTTCTCATCTGTCAAGTTGTTCATCAGCATCGCTGGCTGGTTTGTCTTGGTGTCACTTCCTTCCAGGTGCACTGCATTAGCACAGAGTTCACTATGAGGAAGCATGGTGGAGAAAAGGGGGTGCCATTCCGAGTACAAATCGACACCTTCAAGGAGAATGAGAATGGGGAGTACACGGAGCACTTGCACTCAGCCAGTTGCCAGATCAAGGTCTTCAAGGTACCCTGGCCATGCGCTGGCCTGAAAACCTCTGGTTTTCAGGGGCGGGGGTGTTGAGACAGGGTTTCTCTGTGTAGCCCAGGCTGTTCTCGAACTCATAGAGATCGGCCTGCTTCTGCTGGGAGTAAAGGTGTGTGCCACCATGCCCAGCTAAAACCTCTTCCTTTGTCATTCCATCTTAACCTGAGTTAAAGTCAGTCACTTGTTTGTTTTCCTCTTTTTTTGTTTTGTTTTGTTTTTTGAGACAGGGTTTCTCTGTGTAGCTTTGGAGCCTGTCCTGGAACTCACTGTGTAGATCAGGCTGTCCTCACAGAGTGAGTTCACATGCCTTCCCAGTGCTGCGATTAAAGGCGTGTACTGCCACCACTCAGCCAAGTTAACTGTTTTTAAAACTACAGATTGTCTGAGCTAGATGCTGAGACACCTCTGAAATGCCACTTACGGTAGTTTACACGGGGATTGGTGTGGGGTAACAAAAACCTGTACAGCAGGTGACAGGCAGAGCTGGGCTCTCATTAAAGCCCATTGACTTGTGAACTTTGCAGTTTCTCAGAAATCATGTAGAGTTGACTGATTTAGGTACATGAATAGTTTGTGTATTATTTTTGTTGTTTTGAGGCAGTCATGAGGCAGAAATAGGTTTTGAGGTAGCCCCAAATGGCCTCAGATTTGCTAATTAGCCAAGGATGGCCTTGAACTCCTGATACTTTTGCTTGTGCCTCCAGGTACTGGGACTATAGGCATGTGTCACCGCTCCCTGCTTTATCTATGTTTTTATCATGTGGATAAATATGTTCTCACTGAAAGAAATTCAAACCAAGTATGGTGGCTCACACCTATAATGTATCAAGTTCAGGTGAACTAGGGGTACATATCACGTATCTATCTAAAATAAACCCAAGAGGGGAAGCAGGGAGGGAAGGAAGGATGCCGGGGAGTCAATGATGTAAAAGTAAATGGGACACTGCACTCCCTTATTTACTCTTCCCGATTTATTCTCTAACCTCTTTCCAGAGGTAATCATTGTCACAATTTGTTATACATGCTTCTGATCCCTTCTGTTCTTTAATGAATGTGCATGCATATGTACACATACATTTTCCTGTCTTTGAAATGTAAGTGGGAATATACTGTAGGGGTAGTTTTGAGACTTGATTTTTTTTTTTCAGTTAGCTATATACTTTAGTAGCTTTCCTATCAATCAGTCTTTCCAACTGCATCAAACATTCAAATATCCTATTTTCAGACAGTGAGGGTGATGCATATATTCTCTACATTACTGTACACACGCATTTGTTTTATATGTGGATATTTAAGTGTTTTAAAATATTTCTGGGTCAAATTAAGTACTTGAATTTAAAGCAACCTATTCTCATTTTAGCCTAAAGGTGCAGATAGAAAACAAAAAACAGATAGAGAGAAAATGGAGAAACGCACACCTCATGAAAAAGAAAAATACCAACCTTCCTATGAGACAACCATACTCACAGAGGTAAAAGGATTTTTCAGTTCATAGTTTGTACTGTCATTCATTCATTCTGTGTGCTTGGCATCAGACCTGGGCCTGCTGTGTGTTAGGCAAGCTCTCTATTACTAAGCTGTATCTCCAACCCCATTAAGTGTCATTCACAAAAGGAAAAAAATATTTAAAAACATATATATGTATACATTCCTTTCCAGCCTAGTCTACACTTCGTCCTGAGCATATTTTCTTGACTGATGAAGATGTGTTCCTGAAGTGAGACTGTTTTAGTGGAGCACTGCTCAGAAACATACTTTCTTGTTCCCTGAGTTCTCCTTTGTTTTTAGTGTTCTCCTTGGCCTGAGATCACCTATGTCAGCAATTCCCCATCACCTGGCTTCAACAGTTCCCATAGCAGTTTCTCTCTTGGGGAAGGGTAAGTCTAGGAAATGCAATTGCATTATGTTTGTACTAAATATATATTCTTTTATTATACTTCTATCAACAAGTTCTTCCCAAATTATTGAGTGCTTCCCTTTGGTCATTCTTTTGATCAGTTTTTGTACTGGTTGAGGTTTGGACTCTCCTGAAAAGAGATGGGTTTTATCTAAGAACCTTGCCCCTCCACAGTGTTGGGTACCATCATATGGTGTCAGCATTACATGGTGTCAGGTACTATCAGACAGTGTTTCCCCTCTTGTCCAGCAACATCAGATGGTGTCAGATAGCATCACATGGTGTCAGGTAACATCAGATGGTGTCAGATAGCATCAGATGGTGTCAGGTAGCATCAGATGGTGTCAGATAGCATCAGATGGTGTCAGGTAACATCAGATGGTGTCAGATAGCATCAGATGGTATCAGGTAGCATCACATGGTGTCAGGTAACATCAGATGGTGTCAGGTAGCATCAGATGGTGTCAGGTAGCATCAGATGGTATCAGGTAACATCAGATGGTGTCAGGTAGCATCAGATGGTGTCAGGTAGCATCAGATGGTATCAGGTAGCATCACATGGTGTCAGGTAGCATCAGATGGTGTCAGGTAACATCAGATGGTGTCAGGTAGCATCAGATGGTGTCAGGTAGCATCACATGGTGTCAGGTAGCATCAGATGGTGTCAGGTAACATCAGATGGTGTCAGGTAGCATCAGATGGTGTCAGGTAGCATCAGATGGTGTCAGGTAGCATCACATGGTGTCAGGTAGCATCAGATGGTGTCAGGTAGCATCACATGGTGTCAAGTAACATCAGATGGTGTCAGGTAGCATCAGATGGTATCAGGTAGCATCACATGATATCAGGGTAGTGTCTTCTGTGGGAAATTTTTAGTTGGGTTTCTTGATGACCCTTATCTTGTTTGCTTTGTGGTTGTTTCACTTCCTTTTCACACTTGCCCCAAAGCATGACCCTGGGAATTGGAAGCACAGTTGTATAGACACTTTTTTCTTGTTAAGAATCCTTGTGAGACCTGAAGTGTGACTCAGTAGTAGAGCACTTGGCTGACATGGATCAGGCCTTGGGTTTGAGCTTTAGTATCTCAGATAAACACATAAAAGAAGGCACAAACAGTTTGGGTGATGTTCCTGTTTGGACTTGGATTTTTGTATACTATGTTCAATCTACTTACTTGTTTGTTTGGTTTGGTTTGCTTTTCGAAACAGTTTCTCTGTGTAGCTTTGGAACCTGTCCTGGAACTAGATCTGTAGACCCAGCTAGCCTCGAACTCTCCGAGATCTACCTGCCTCTGCCTCCTGAGTGCTGGGGTTAAAGGTCTTGAGCCATCACCACCCAACTCAACCTGTGTCTTAAAAGATTTAAAAAGTAGCTTAAATGTTTGAAAAATAACAGCTAAGAGCTAATATCTTTTTTGGTGTTAGTTATAAAAGGAATGCATCTGTCTATTACCCTTATATCATTGCTAAGTTTGAATATCAAGCTTAAAATTTTCAACAATGACAGAAATAAAGAAGAAAAGAGGTTTTTCTATTTGTTCAAGACAGGGTCTTGCTGTGCATTCCAGGCTGGCTTTGAATTATTGTACAACCAGGCTAGCCCTGAGTTCACAGCAGTCCTGCTGCCAGAATCCCTAATCCTGGGGTTGTAGGCATGGACTGCCATCACCACTCCACGTTTTTGTTTGTTTGTTTGTTTGGATATGGGGTCTTTGCTGTGTTTCTAAGCTAGCCTTGAACTCCTGAAGCCAAGCAATCCTCCTGCGTCAGCCTCTCTGGTAGCTGACTACAGGTACCACTACATCTGACACACAGGAACTCTTGAAATAAAGGGGTTCTTGTTATCCTTAAGTGGTTGATGTTGACCACTTGGAGAAAATTTAAAATAGCTACAGTTTAAGGGTTGTGTTTTCTATTTTTTTCTCTTTTTGTCCTTCAGTTTTTTTTTTCTTTCATAAAGAAAATAAACATTAAGCAAAAGAAACTATAAGAAAAACCAAAAGTGTGGAGATAAATGTTGACTCACAAATTAGAACTAATTTTGAATCAACTTTAATCATAATAGGAGCTTGAGATACGGTTCAGTGGGTAAGAGTGCTTGCTTCCCATTTGTGACAACCAGGGCTTGGGTACCTATATCATGAAACCAGCCAGATATCGCACAAACTCCTGTAATTTAGCTCCAAGGAACCCAGTGCTTCTGGCCTCCACATTTAGGTATATGCACCGACACAGATCTTTGAATTTACTTTTACACATGTGTATGCCTGCATGCACACATGTGCATATGCACACACACAGAGATTAAGTAAGTAGATCTGAAATGAATTGGTCCAGCAAGATAGCCCAGAGGGTACAGTGCTTGCTTCTCACGGCCAGTGGTTCTTGGATCCCTAAAACCCATGTAAAATGGATAGAGAACTGGCCCCATAGAGTTGTCACCCCAACATCATACAACGGTAGTAATTAACCAAATTTTAAAGACAAATAAATAGGGCTGGAGAGATGGCTCAGCAGCTCAGAGCACTGGCTGCTCTTCTAAAGGATCCAGTTAGGTTCCTAGCACCCACATGGCAGCTCTCAGAAATAATTGTCAGGTGGTACTGTGGAATAGCAGTTGCTAGCACATGCAAGGAAGGAGCTGGATTCAACCCCCAGGACAGCAAAATAGCTATGTTGTTGTTTGTATTTGGTTTTATTGTTGTTGTTGTTGTTGTTTTTGAGACAAGAGTCTCACTTAGCTTTGGCTGGTCTAGAACTGGCTTGTAGACCAGGCTAGCCTTGAACTCACAGACATCCACCTGCCTCTGCCTCCTGAGTGCTGGGATTAAAGACATGCCCCACCACACCCTGTCAGTATACATTTTCTTCTGTGTTTTGTACATGGCTGCTGATATGTTTAATATAGGAGTGATCCATAATTACAACAGTAAAAGTACTAGAACTTTTATATCCTGTTTTTTTTTTTTTTTTAAAACTCGGAGCCTTATGCAGCCTAGGCAGATACAAATATCTATTATTCCATAATTTAATCTATCAGTTTCTATAGTTTCTATTTACTAAAATTTTGATACCTTTGCTAGTTTCCTCAGTCATAAAAAAAAAAAAAAAAAATGTTTCAGTGACATAGTTTCTCCCCTTCCCTGAAATTTCTGAGTTAATTAGCACAAAGCTGAAGCCCTGGGTCAAAAAATGTTTTCAGACAAAGGAAAGATTCTTTTAGGTCTGTAATTTAGGAGTTACCATGACAGTGAATCATGAGGTAATCTGCAGAGTGTGTACCATGGACTCATCTTTTCATCTTCAATGTCTCTCCCTAGAAATGGCTCACCAAACCACCAGCCAGAACCACCCCCTCCAGTCACTGACGTAAGTCTACAGCCAATGTCAGTTATTCGTGATAAGTGGTACTATTGTGGTGACTGCGGTTCTGTCAGATGCCGGTGGACTACAGACTGTTACCATTTATTCACTCATGCATATAGAATTTCAGCTCAACTGGAAATTATACTAGGGACTGTTTGTTTGCTTGTTTTTACGAAGCCTTTCACTGTACATCACAGGCTGTCCTTGAGCTCACTGTGCAGCCCCAGGTGGCTTAGGATGCAGAATAGTAGTTCTGCCTCAGCCTCTCAAGTGCTGGGGTTGCAGATGTATACCACCCCACCTGTCTGCTTTTTCTTCTCTTTTTGTGGCTCTCATTGTGATGCCCAGGCTGGTCTAGTGCAAGCTGTGGCTCATGTGATTTCTTAGTAACTGCCACTACAGGATCCCTTGACTAGGAAGAGCTTACAGTCTGATAATGAAGTATCTCTGGTGGTTGGATGTATGATGTGAACAGGTTCCAGACACTAGCTTGTGTGGTTGTCGGGTGTGGAAGTGTTTAGTTATGTTATCTAATGAGGTAGCAGGTGAGCTAATCAGATAAAAAAGAGTGCATTCTCTTTCAGAACCTCTTGCCAACAACCACGCCTCAGGAAGCCCAACAGTGGTTACATCGAAACCGGTTTTCCACATTCACAAGGCTCTTCACCAACTTTTCAGGTCAGATTAGTTTTTCCTTTTGCCTTCTACAGCATGGGGTATTCATGTGCCTTGTAGGGCCTCTTGGTGTCCATATGGCTGTGTGGGAGTGTCTCAGTTTGTTTTTTTTCTGACAAAATCAATTTCATTAAATACCTTAGGCTTTCAACTGGCTGTAATTGTACTAGGAGACTCTTTAAAAAATGAGCTTTAGCCAGGTGATGGTGGTGCACACCTTTAATCCCAGCAGTTGGGAGGCAGAGACAGTTGGATCTCTGTGAGTTCCAGGCCCATCTGGTCTACAGAGTGAGTTCCAGAACAGCCTCCAAAGCTATACAGGGAAACCCTGTCTCAACCCCCCACCCCCCAAAAAAGAAGAACTTTAAAATGTTTATTTCATATAGCACTTTTAAAATGTGTATTCCATGTAGTACTTTACCAAGGGGCATTCACAAACAGACTGTATGTATTACTTGTACAATCCAATTTTATGAATCCTCTGTGTGCATACATGTAGAAACATACAGCTGATAAAATGTGCTGAAGAGAGCACTCTTTAATTATCTGTGTAAAGGAAAAATCCTACAGAATGGAACCTACTGGATAAGTACCATAGCAGGGGTGTGTGAAGTGAGCTGGAAGGGGCTGGTGTGGGCTGTCGGGCTGTGGAAGGGTGTCTCTGACAGGAAAAGGTGAAGTGATCTGGGAAGGGACTGTGTGGTCGACAGGCTGTGGAAGGGTGTCTCTCATGGGAAAAGCAGCTGGCCCGTTCCGCAGCCTCTGCCTGATGAAATGAAAGCAGAGGGTTATTGAGGTTTAATAAGGATCAGGATAAACAAATAAGCCAAATAGATGTTTATTCAGGGAGAAATAACTTACAGACAGATGAACACCAGGAAATTCCACCCGATGATGTCCTGTCCGAGTCACGCCAGCCGGAGAGCTTTTCCCGGCTTTTTCCCTGACCTCCCTCCACAGGTCACTTCCGCCCATGGCTCCACCCCCCAATGGGCGTGGTCAGTGCCACAGAAGGACTATCTCACTACAGAAGGTGAAGTGGGGAAGGTAATTGGATGAGAGTTGAGACAGAAGATGGTGGAGGCCAAATCACAGGGATCTGTCTAATGTAGCAGACTGCAACAGACTGCTGATGAGGTGTCCTCAAAAGCCCATTTTAAAAATCACCAAAGTAATTTTTGACTTATCATTAACCTTCTCCACCCCCTTTTATTCCAGGGGCAGATTTATTGAAACTAACAAGAGATGATGTGATCCAGATCTGCGGCCCTGCAGACGGAATCAGACTTTTTAATGCATTAAAAGGCAGGTATGTACTTTTTTAAGATATCAACATATCAATGGTTACAATACCAGTGAGATTGTATTTCAGACGAATTTACATTCTGGAATTTTTTACAATACTCTACACAGATAAATAAGTTTGTCAAAACATTAAAAAAAAAATTCTAGTCATGGGCCTCTGACCTCCACACATGAGCTCTCTCTGTCTCTTTCTCACACACTCACACACACACACACACACACACACACACACCATGCATGTATGCATGCTAAATAAATGTTTTGGGTTTTTATTCTTTTTAAAGAAAGAAACTTTATTTAAAAAAAAACCCATTATGGACCAAATAAACACAAACAAAAAATATCATTTCTTACATTTGATCCAAAGAACTTGTGATAGCCAGTTCTCATTTTCAGGTAAATAGTTACTCTCTTTATCATAAGATAGGTACTTTTGTTGGCTCTGGAGGTACATTGGTGACAATGTACCCATAAAGAAAAACAGTAAGTATTTTAGATAGTGCTATGAGCTTTGAAGGGAGCTATACAGACAAACTGGGTGTGGCTCAGCTCATCCCGGTACCTAAGAGGTTGAGCAGGAAGATCAAGAGTTCAAGACCACCCTTGACTTTGTAGCAGTTTCAAGGTTAATTTGGACTACCAGAGACCTTGTCTCAACAAGACAAACACAAAATAAAGCAAGTTTGTGGTTTATAGATTACCTTGATAGAGTCAGAAAAGATATTCTGTGGAGGGTGTGTGTGTGTGGTAGGTAAGTATATATGGGGTGTGTGGGTGTGTATATGGTGTGTGTATATGGGATGTGTGTATGGGGAGTGTGTGCATGGAGTGTGTGTATGGGGGGTGTGAGTGTGTATGTGTGTGTGTATGGTTTGTGTATATGGTGTGTGTGTGTGTGTTTCAGAACAGCTGTGTAGTGAGACCCTGTGTCAAAAGAAAAAGAAAAAAGAGTAATTGTAATCCTTTTTGAGAGTCTGTGTGTGTTTGTGTGCGTTAATGGTGTTTTGTTTTTTTTTTTTTTTTTTTTTTTTTTTTTTTTTTTTTTTGAGACAGGATCTGTCTACATAGCCCAGGCTGAATTTGAATTTGCTGTGTAACCTAGGTTAGCCTTGGACTCAGAACTTCCAGCCCAAACCACTTAGGTGCTGGAATTACAGGCATGTATTACTATGTTTGGCTTAGTAATCATAACTGATAGGGGGGAAATTAGACTAATGACAACAGAACAAAATCAGTGAATAAATAAATTTCAAAGGATTTGTATTTGTGTACCTCACAAACATACCGCATCAAATTGACTGTAGTTTCAGAAAATCTTGGTCTCATGTATCACAGGTTGGCCTCAAACGCTATATGTAGCTGAGAATAAAGCTTTGAATTCTTGGTCTTTCTTTCTTATCTCCTGATACTAAAGTTACAGGAGTGTGTTACCCATCATTGTGGCAATATTGGAAAACTGAAATGAATGTGTTAGGTTCTATCACTGCAAAGAGACACCATGACCACAGTAAAGGGAAAACATAATTAAGGCATATCCTTTCAAACCCCACAGAAAGAGATAGAAATTCAAGGATTAGGGGCTAGAGGGGATGGCTCAGAGTTTAGAGTGCTTCTTGCTCTTCTAGAAAATCTGTGTTCAAAAAGCCTTCTTTCCATCCTTCCTTCCCTCCCTCCTCCTTCTTCCCCCTCTCTCCCTCTCCTCCCTCCCTTCCTCTCTTCCTCCTCCTTCCTCTCTTCCTCTCTCCTTCCCCCTCCCTCTCTCTCCTCCCTCTCTCTCCTCCCTCTCTCTCCTCCCTCTCTCTCCTCCCTCCATCCCTTCCTCTCTTCCCCCCCCACACACACACCGTGTATGTGGCAGTTGAGGAGGTGTTTGAACTTATATAAAGTCAGAGAACAACTTGCAGGAGTCATTTCTTTCCTCCCACCATGTGGGTCTCAGGGATTAAACTCAAGTGGCAGGAGCCTTTGCTGGCTGAGCCATCTTGCCCACCACCTATTAGTATTTTTAAGTAAACAGATTATCTGGAACCCAACCCTTCTGGAACCCGGCCCTTATATTAAGCAGTACCTCTTGCATTTTGATTATTTCTAACCATAACTCCAACTCTCACAAATTCCATTGACTACAGGAGCTCCATGGTCATGTAAAGGACCAACAGTTAAGTCAGAGTTTAGTGAAGAGATCTTGGGAGAATGAGGACCCTGAGTTACCAGGTGTAAGCTAGCATTAGTGTTCTCTTCCCCTCCCTCCCTCCTGCTCCTCTTCTACCCTCCCCCTTTCAGTGCTGAGAATGGAACCTGGGTGTTTAAGCATGCCAGGCTAACAGTCTACTACTGAGCCCCAGTCCCACATCTAACTTTTCAGGGAAAGCAGAGTTTAGAAGCTTAAATGGTGCCTCATCAGCTTAAACAACAAACCACTGAGAGATAGGAAACAAGTAGCATTAATAGATTTCATCTGCACTCTCTACAGTGATGTAGGGACAAACCCTCCCTGTGGATGTGCTTACGATGGGAAAACATTGTAAAGCAGACCATCCCTTTTCTTCCCACACAGGATGGTGCGTCCAAGGCTAACCATTTATGTCTGTCAGGAATCGGTGCAGTTGAGGGAGCAGCAGCAGCAGCCACCACCGCCACAACAGAAGCAGGAAGATGGAGATTCAAATGGTACTTTCTTCGGTAGGTTGTTCTGCGCAGACCAGGACAGGTAGGAAGAAAGGAGAAGAGAGGACTCATGGGCAGGTGTGATGGGAGTTTAGACTACTTCAGTATTAGAGTTCTAGAAGTAATGGCAATTGTTCACATTTATTCAGCTCTTAACCTATGCCGAGTGCTATTACCAGTACTTCATATATACTTGAATTTTTAAGTCTAAAGACTGTCTGCTCTCCAGTCTTTAGAGGAGGGAAAGGACTAGGTTTGATGAGTAACTTTCCCCAGTTCACATTGAAAGGGGGTAGCTGAGGCTTGAAGACAGGCTGTGTGATTTGTGAGTCTCTACAGAATGAGCAGATCACCTGCAGATGCAGATGGCCTCTGATTGACTGCTATTCTTTCTTTTGCAGTGTACCATGCTATCTATCTAGAAGAATTGACAGCTGTTGAATTAACAGAAAAAATTGCTCAGCTTTTCAGTATTTCTCCTCACCAGATCAGCCAGATTTACAAGCAAGGGCCAACCGGAATCCATGTGCTCATCAGTGACGAGGTCAGTTTCTCAGTCCTGTTGAATTATCCTATGTGTTAGGGCACATGGCAGGTCCAAGAGTGCTCTGCCAGGGTTGGACTCTGTTTTCTGCAGAGAGGTTTAACTTTTAAATTTAACAAATTTTGCTATTTTGGCCTGACGGACCCTGAACTTGTGGGTTCACATGCAAGACCTTCCTGTCTCAGCATTCTGGGTATCTGGGACTGTTGGCATGAACCACTGCATCTGGCTTAGATTTTACTCTTTGCTTATTTTTAAATTTATATATAAAATTTTTAAATTTTTAAAATTTTATATATAAGGTGTTGTAACCCAGCACAAAGAGAAGTGGAAGCAGGAAAATCATGAATTCAAGTTCACCTCTGGCTGTGTAGTAAGTTCAAGGTCCACCTGGCCTAGGCAAAACCAAAAACGGGTAAAGGAGAGGTAGCTTAGCAGTTATGAGTGCTTTCTGCACAATCAAGAGGACAAGAGTTTAGATCCCAGCACCATGTGGTTTTTTGTTTTGTTTTGAAGATGGATATGTTCCCCCCTATGTGCCTGTAACCCCAGCACAGGAGGATCACTGGAGCTTGTACTCTGCCAGCCTAGCTGATGGGGCTAGATCAGGGAGTAAGCTACAGGTTCGCTGACGTAGCTATTTTAAATAAAAACAAGGTAGACAGTGATAGAGGACACCTGATACTCAAATTTAGCCTCTGTGTAAATTGTGCATATATACCACAAATACTATATGTATCCTTTTTCACATTTTAGGTCAGTTTTTAAAAGTATGAACAATGTAAAATTTCCTCAGTTGAGTGGAAATTGCCACTCCTAGACACACACCATTTTCAAATGAGGTGGTGGGTAGGGAGATGCTCAATTGGTGAAGAGCTTGCTGCACAGATGTAAAGACCTGAATTAGGATCCCTACCACCCAGGTAAAAAGCCAGTCATGGCAGCATGTGTCTGTAATCCCAACACTAAGGAGGAAGAGAGACACTACCTCAAAAAGATGAAAAGCAATTTAGGAAGACAGCAGATGTTAACCACTGGCTTCCACATGTGCATGCTCTCCCCCCCCCCCACACACACACACAGAATGATTAAGCTAGGAGAGAAGATGCTTCTTATAATTCTAACATCTGGAAGGTAGAGGCAGGAGTGTCAGGAGTTCAATGCCATCCCTGGCTAATTCAGTGCCAACCTGAGGGAGAGGAAGAAAGAGACTGATATTATTCTGATTACATTTTTTTTAACCCAAGTACAAGTCTTTGCTTTTTTCCCCAGTACTGGAACGGAAATCAAAATTACAAGAGTGCATTAGGAACTGGAGAAACAGCTCAGCAGTTAAGAGCATTAGCTGCTCTTTCAGAGGACCCAGATCTGATTCCCAGCACCCACATGGTGGCTCACAACTGTCTGTAATCCAATTCCAGGGAATCTGACACCTTTTTCTGACTCCATGGGCACCAGGCAGGCACATGATGCATACATGTACATGGCACACAAAGCATTTATACACATAAGATAAATAAATATAATTTTAAAAAATTATTTAATACAAGTATTCATTTAAAGAAGTACAAGTATGCATTGTGTATATACATGCATACACGCGCACGCGCGCGCGCACATGAACATGCAGGTGTGTTCCCTTTCATGCAATGCTTGAGGAGACCAGAGGTTGAGTTTAGGTGTTTCCCTCAGCTGCTCTCCACCTTAGTTTTTAGACAGAGTCCCATTGAATTTGAAGCTTACCAGTTCCACAAGGCTGGGCATTGAGCCAGCCCTGCTCAGGTACTGGCACATGCCACTGTACTCAACTTTTTATGTGGCTGCTGGGAATCTGAACTAAGGTCCTTACAGTGCACAGCAAGTACTTTACCACTGACTGCTTAGCCATCACTCCTGTCCCTTGCCTGGCTTTGCATTTTTTGAGATAGGGTCTTTGTAGTCAAGGCTAGCCTTAAACCCCCTATATAGCCAAAGATGACCTTAAACTTCTGGTCCTCCTACCTCTGCTTCCCAAGTGCCGGAATTATAAGTGTGTGCTGGTCTGGCTTTCACAGACTTGGTGTGTGTGTGTGTGTGTGTGTGTGTGTGTGTGTGTGTGTGTGTACATGCACATGGAGGTCAGAAGAGGCTATCAGATCTTCTGGAGCTGCTGCTACAGGTAGGAGCTGCTGCCTGATAGTGGTAGGAACCAAACTTGAGTCCTCTGGAAGAACAGAAACCACTTAACCACTTTCTAGCCACTCTCATAGTTTTTAAATTTACATTTTTACACCTGAAAATCCCATTATTTGTCCTGCTGTGCTTCCTTGAAGCAAAAATTTGTGTCAGCGAAATAACTTGCTTCAGTAAAACTTGAAAATGTACTTCTTCTGAATAGAACTGTTATCTCACAGAGATGATCAAAAGTAACAAGTTGGTATTTATGACACATGAAGTTAAAGGGTTGATTTATAGCTTAGAAGTAAACATGCTTAGTGTGTACAAGGCATTGGATTTAATACTTAAAATTTCAAAAGAGAAGAAGAAAAAGAAATTAGACACGCCATGTTGTGTATGCACATGTATGGCAGGCTGGTTTTAAACTTGCCATGCACTTAAAGATGATCCTGGGCTCCTGCCTCCGTCTTCCAAATGCTGTGATTACAGTGTGCACTAACATGCTCAGTGTATGCAGTGCTGGGGTCAAACCTAGGGCTTAATGCATGATAGACCATTGCTGTACCAACTAGACTTCATCCCAGCCCCTAGTCCTACATCTATTAGAGGAATGGATGGAACCACTCAATTCCCTTTGCCCGTGCTAGCCATAGTTAATTAATCTGTAGTTGAGTGCTGCCCCCTAATTGTGAAAGTGGCACAGCATTCAGCATCAGTCAGTTCTGTCTCACTTTCTCCTCTTGGAAATACTGTGAACTTGATTTTCCTAAATGGATAGATAGGAATGGATGGGGAGGTGGATCTGTAGTGTAATGGATAGCTCATTGAAACTTCTAGAGGCAGGAATGGATGGGGTTTTGCTGTGACAATTTTATTTTTGAACTTCTAAGTTTTGTACCAAAAATTACATAATAATGTTGGCTTCAAGTTATCCATCTTTTGACAATTGTGATTGAGTGAATCGAGTTAGACACCATGATAGTCACATGTGGAGGTTTGAGAAAGGTTTGAGGAAGTAGGTCATACCTCCTGTGGAGTCTTGGGGTTCACCCAAGGAAGTGTATGCTCCACTTTTAAAACCATTGTTCAGCCCAGCAGTGGTATTGCACATCTGTAATGCCAGCACTGAGGAGGTAGAGGTAGGAGGATCTCTGTGAGTTTGAGGCCAGCCTGGTCTACAGAACAAGTTCCAGGACAGCCAAGGCTACACAGAAAAACCCTGTCTTGAAAAAGATGAAAAATTTATAATAATAACAACAACAACAATAATCTGGCTCCTTTGGTTGTGCTGCCCAAACTCTTCTGAGGCGTCCACTGGGATCACCTGATAGTTTGTTTGGAGCAGCTGCTGTACTGGGTTGCTTATAGGATGATCTTAACCTTTCTTCAAGGCTATGGAACAGAAAGTGGTCTAATCTGAGGTGTAAGTTAAGTACATTTTTTTTTTTTTAACCATGACTTGTTCAGCACTACATTTTCCAAAATGCTTTGTTCCTTTTGTTTTGGAAGCAAGTCTCTAGTACAATTATTTTAGTTTAAATATAGACTAATTTGTAAAATTGTGGTTTATTTTGAAAAATTCTTAAATTTATTTCAGATGTTGCCAATACCTTCCAAAGTAAGTGATGTTGAGGCAATATTTAGAGTTAGTTGTTCTGGCTTAGGGAATTTATGGACTCTGATTTGATACTTGCTGACTCATGGATGTCTTTGAACTAACTAGCTAGAGCTTAGTTGTAAATGTAAAGTTCTTACACGATTCAGAAGAAACAAAAGAGCTTAACTTTTACTTCAGTACAATGTCATGAAAAGCCTTATACAAAGGAAACATTGCACACCAGGGTGTTAATGATCAGAAATCTTGTTGCTTTTTTCAGATGATACAGAACTTTCAGGAAGAAGCCTGTTTTATTCTGGACACAATGAAAGGTAATAAAATACTAAACCTTACTTTAACACTTACTGTCTGCTTGTGTGTATGTGAGGTGGGTTATTATGTGCCATGACACACACAGGTCATAAGGCAACCTGTGGAAGTTGGTCTGTCCTTCCACCTTGTGGGTCCTGGGGACCTGGATGTGTAGAGGCCAGAGGACAGTCTCAGGTATTGTTTGTTACTCAGGCACCTCTTTTAAATTTATTTTTCTATTTTAATATAAATCTATTAAAATTGTATTTAAAGTTTTATTTTTATGTGTATAGCTGTTTTGCCTGCATGTATATCTATTTACCACGTGTGTGCAATGCCCGGAAAGGCCAGAAAAGGGCCTCAGATACTGTGGATGAGAGTTACAAATATTGTGAGCTACATTTGTAACACTCATCCAGGATATGTGAGCATAAAAGGGCTATGGTATGGCATCCAGCCTGATGACCAGTGTTCAGTCTAAAACTCATGTAGTGAAAGGGAGGAACAAAATCCCACAAATTTTCCTCTGACCTCCAAGTGTATGCATGCCATGGCACACACACACCCCAAATAAATAATTGTAACTATAAATATTTGTAAAGTATTTAATATGCCTAATCTTTCAAACATTATTTCTTTGCAACATAGTACATTGTAGAATACCAATGTTTCATCTTGGTGAGCTTGTGTCTGATATAAATAAACTATTTGTTGCCACTGCCTACCATTATAAGAGATAAACATCATTCTGTTTATCTCTGTCCCAGGAAAAGTAGAAGATTGATGTCTTTATTCTACCTGCTCCTACCTCCTGTGTCATGGGTTTATTGGTGTGTTCCACCACACCTGGTCATCCTATTTGACTCTGTACTCCCTCTCATAGGATAGTTTTTTCCTTATTGTCTAAAGGTGACCAAAGATCACCCTTTCTCACCAGGCAATGGTTTGGCACACCTTTGATCTCAGAACTTGGGAGGTAGAGGCAGGTGGATCTCTGTGAGTTCAAGGCCAGCCTATTCTATAGAGCAAGATCCAGAACAGCCAGGGCTACACAGAAAAACTCTGTCTCTAAAAAACAACAATAGATCATTCCTCTCTCCATCTGTTTTACAGCAGAAACCAGTGATAGCTATCACGTCATTCTGAAGTAGGAAGAACATTCCACATTTGCTGGCTGCTGCTCCCTTCCTCTGACGGATGCCCTTTTGAAGGGGATATGACTGAAGATTGAAGGTCTTCTGGAACCCAGCTTATATGAATGTTGGGGGATGCGTACTGGGTGACCAGGCCCTAAAGTGGAATCCTAGCCCCCTGTATTGGCCCGAGTTGTATGGCACCCTCAGATCCCTGCCAGGCGTGGAGTTCAGCAACGATCTGCTTAGTTTCTGGCCCTTGATGGATACCAGTATGATCACCCATCATTAGGGTGTACAGAGGGATGAGTGGTAATGGGAGTATGGGAGTGGTATAATGTTTGATGGGGAGATCTTTAATTTTGTGACAGAGCTCTTGCCATTTTTCTTTTTTTGTTTGTTGTTTTTTTGAGACAGAGTTTCTCTGTTTAACAGCCCTGGCTGTCCTGGAACTCACTCTGTAGACCAGGCTGGCCTCCAACTCATAGATATCTGTCTGCCTCTGCCTCCCAAGTGCTCAGACTAAAGGTGTGCACCACCACCACCCCACCATTTTTCTAATATAAAAGTGAACATTTGTATTCATAAAGCTAAGTTATCAGTCTCTTTTGTGTCAAGCATATTGTCAGTTCTGCTTTGTTCACCTTTTTTTGTGTATGTGACAACTTCAGTGAGGAGAAATAGAGAAGTTTTTTGTTCCTTTTTTTTTTTTTTTTTTTTTTTTTTTTTTTTGAGACAGGGATTCATGATTTTGCCTCTACCTTCCAAGTACTGGGATTGCAAGCATTTGCCACCTTGCCTGTTCCTACAGTCTGGGCTTGAACCCAGAGCCTCACATGTGCTAGGCAAGCACTTCTCCCAATGAGCTCCAGCAGGCCCTTCCCTTTTATGTTAGGACAGAGTCTTGGTTTTGGTTCACCTGCAAAACCACAACTGAGAGTGATTTTGGCTAATATTTATTGGGGTAGGCAGAGTGATAAATTCTGTAGATGAATTATCTTGTTTTCATCCCCTTTATAAGTCCATAATAATAGGGTAAAGAGTGACTCCCTTACTGAAGATAAGCAAGTACAGCAGAGTGGTGGTGTAGCTGGAAGCTAATGAATTAGCTATGAAGAAGGAAGAGCATACCTAAGTAATGATAATCAAGACCTGCAAACCAAACAGATGCCTGCTCAGTGTCACCCCCAACCTCAAGCACAGAGCTGGAGGTGGGAGCGGCAGGAGTGTCTTTAACTCCCAGAGCTCGTTGTTCTTGAATGATACTCTCATGCTGTGTGTTTATAAGGGAGTTATTCCAACTCCTCTTTACCCTCCCCTGGCTTATTGTGGTATAGTGTTTTACAAAAAAAATACATTCTTTTCCCATTCAAACGCACACTGTGTCTATGTTCTGCCTTCCAAATGACTGTGTGTCTGTGTGCATGTGCAGAATTGTAAAGCATTATGGGTCTTCTTTTTTCACTTGTAATTTTTGTTTGTTTGTTTTGCTTTTTGAGACAAGAGTCTCTCTGTATAACAGCCCTGGCAGTCCTAGAACTCACTCTGTAGACCAGACTGACCTGAAATTCACAGAGATCTGTCTGTCTCTGCCTCAAGTGCTAAGATTAAAAGTGTGCCTCTTCATCCTGGCCACGTATAAAGTATTATCCAGAAATTTCCTCAGATTTTGGTGAGAAGAACAAAGATGATGGTAAAGGATTCTGTGTTGGATTTGAGTTTATGTGTGTTTTGAAGCATTTGATAAAGTTTACTTTTTTATACATACAGAGTTTTGTGGTGGTCATGATGTTCATTAAAATCAGCTTGTAATGTGGTTTCTAATTTCTTTTGGTTTGAAAGAAACTTAAAAACTTGAACCTGAAAATTCCTAACACTGGTGCAAACAGCTTGACCTTTCTAGTGAATGATTACCCAATATCCCATTTTGAGGTATGTTTCTAGTTGTTTTATGGGAGCTGGTTCCCAGTCAGTACAACTGCTGCTTTCTCTCCTCAGCAAGATGTGATTGGCTACCATCCGCCCTCTGACAGGATGGAAAACAGAAGAGTTGAGCTAGGTGGGTGACTTGTGTGAGACAAGATCTTCTGTTGCTCTGGCTGGCTTAGCACTCAAAATACAGCCCAGGCTGGTCCTAAACTTGTGCCTCACCATGCCTAGACTTGAACCAGTGACTTAAGGTTCCTTTCAAATGCATGATTCTCGGATTCTTGTGACATAAAATGATGCATGTAATTCTGTTAACATTAGTCATAATTTATATGTCTTAATCTTTATTTGAAGTTACTTTTTATTGGAGTAGTCTTCAAAATTATAAAAGTGAATTTATATACTGTTGTAGTTTTAGGTTTTGTTTTGGTTTTAGTTTTTAAGGCTAGGACAGCCTGGAGCTCCAATTGTAGACTGGAATAGCCTGGAACTTGCATTGGCCCTTCTGTGTCTTCTGCCCAAATTCAGGACTTCACCACTTGTGGCACATCTGGCACAGAAACTATCTTGGGCTTTTCTGAGCCCTCCTTTCCAAGGTATTTGCTCTGCCTGACTCAGCATTGGTGGCAAAAACTGCAAGGCTCTTTTAAGAGACCCTGCTACCAAACAATTAAATGGTATTTATGAGCAGCCAGTGGCATGCTTTTTGGTGGTGACATGAACCTAGAAATTCCAGAGTTGTGACAATAAAAATGGCTCTGCCTGTGCTATGTAACTGGAAAGGCTTAGTGGTAGAACACTGTGACTACTTACAAAGTACATTCCAAGCTGGGCAGTGGTGGCACACATCTTTAGTCCCAGCACTCAGGTGGCAGAGGCAGGTGGATCTCTGTGAGTTTGAGGCCAGCCTGATCTACAGAGCTAGTTCTAGGACAGGCTTTAAAGCAATACAGAGAAACCCTGTCTAGAAAAACTAAAAACAAAAGCAAAAGCCTAATACATTCCACTATTGACCTTTTCAGTTAAATGAAAATTTAGTTAACTTTTTCATTGTGAAAGTGATACTTAAAATTGTTATAAATATGAATAATAACTTTTTCTTTTTTCTAGTCCTACTCTAAAGAGGTCGTCACTGACTATGGGTAGTTTCCTAACCTCAGCACTCAAGAAACAGAGACACAAGGCTGCATGAGGAGGAGCCTGTCTTTTTTTTTTTTTTTTTTTTTTTTTGGCCATGACAAACATCATGACCAGGACAACTTGCTAAAGAAAGCCTTTAATTTGGGGGCTCATGGTTCCAGAGGGTTAGAGTCCATGACCAACATGGCAGGAAGCATGGCAGCAGGCAGCAGACATGGGGCTGCAACCATAGCGAGAGTTTTCATCTCATCCACAAGCAGAAAGCATTGAAAGAGAGCTAGCTGGAAATGGTGTGTGTGGGCTTTTGAAACTTTAGAGCCCACCCCCAATGGCATACCTCCTCTAATAAGGCCTCCTAATCCTTCCCAAATGGTTCCACTGACTGGGGTCCAAACATACATGCCTGTGGAGACCATTCTCATTCAATCCAAAATCATTTCATTTTGTTTCAAAAATTAAAAAAAAAAAGATATAAGAAAATTTCCCTCAACAAATTTATATACATACATAAATCTCAGAGACTCTGATAATCTGTGATTTAGCTTTAGTGTTTAACATGTCTGGAATATCTTTCTGTACCAGAATTGGTAGTTCTGCAGTATTGTTTTGAATTCTCTGTGCTTCAGAGCACCTATCTTCTCAGCTTGCTAACTCACCTTTATTCTAGGAAGTACCTCTTTTCCTACCAAGTAAACTGCCTCTATTTCTGGGTGGGTTGTTGGATTTTCTCTTTGTTTGTTTGTTTGTTTTTAAAGAGTAGGTTCTCAGGATGCCACTTAAATACTTTGGAAAGATTTCCTTCACACAGTTTTGCCCATATCTCAGATATATTAAAGCAAGAGTTGGTGGTGGCTAAAGATAAAACAGGGACTCCAGGAAGCTCTGGGGTCAATCCCTGGGAGGGACCACATATAATCAGTCAGGCATACCTGTTATCCTAGCACTTGGGGATGGAGGCATAAGGACCAAAAGTTCAAATGCAGCTGGTGTTTGAGGTTATCATGTGCTCCAATGAGACCCTGCTTTAAAAAGAAAAGATGGAATTTTATGTTTATGTGACTGATGATTGATATTTATATTAAAGGTTAACTATCCCATTCAAAAGAGAATATGTGAAAAAGAAATCATATCCTATTTGACTATTATCTATATTTTTCTCTTGAAATAGAATGGGATCCTTATATGTATAAAAACATAATGGTTAAATGGGACTTATTGAGAAATAAAAGGGAGAAGAGGGTCATTACAGGCTCTTTAGGAACTTTTAGTCACTATCCTAGTTAGGATCACTATTGTTGAGATGAAACACCATAACAAAAGCAAGTTGGGGAGGCAAGGGTTTATTTGGCTTACACTTCCCAAATTACTGTTCATCATCACAGAAAGTCAGAACAGGAAGTCATACAAGGCAGGGTCCTGGAGGCAGGAGATGATAAAGAGGCCATGGAGGGGAGCTGCTTACTGAATTACTCCTCATGGCTTGCTCAGCCTGCTTTCTTATAGAACCCAGTACCAACAGCCCAGGGATAGCCCCACCCACCATGGGCTGGGCTGTTCTCCATCAATCACCGATCAAGAAAATGTCCTACAGGTTTGCCTACAGTTTATCTTGTAGAGGCATGTTTTCAATTGAGGCTCAATCTTTTCTGATGACTCTAGCTTGTTTCAAGTTGACACAAACTATCCAGCACCGGTCACTAAGTTCATTGATCTAAGTAAAAGATTGCTTGATTTTTATGACCCAATAAGAATGTTTACACTAGGACAGCAGGGCTGGCTCAATGGTAAAAGCATGGTGGCTTTCAGGTGTCTGGAAAAGGGGTTCAGTGGTTGAGAGTACTTGCTGTGCTCACAGGACTGGGGTTTGTTTTCCAGCACTCAACACAGCAGACCACAACCATCAATAACTTCAGCTCCAGGAAATCTGATGCCCTTTCTTGACCTCTGTGTTCATGCACACAAGCTGATAATCCCATAAACATAAAATAAAAATCCTTAAAGACAATCTTTAAAATATTTTTTTTAAAAAGAGTGTTTGCTCACATAAATGATTAAGAAACCATTTGGCTGGGCATGGTGGCACACATCCCTCCTCTTGCAATGAAAACACTTTACTGACAGCTACCTCCCCAGCCTTCCTTGCATGAAAATGACATTATTTAGTTTACTTATTTGTTTTCTTATTTATCTACATATTTATTTAGGCAGGGTCCCACTATGGCTTGGAACTCACTATGTAGACCAGGCTGGCCTCAGACTCACAGAGATCTGCCTCTGCTGAGATTAAAGATGTGTGGCACCACTTCCAGCCCAATGTTTAGGGAATTTGTTCATTTGTTTTCTTCTCCATTTTTCAAGATGGTTTCTCTATGTAGCCCTAGCTGTCCTAGAACTCACTCTATAGACCAGGTGGACCTTGAACTCAAAGATCTGCCCCTTAAGTGTTGAGATTAGCTCCACTGCCACCCAGTTGTTTGGTTTGTTTTATTATTTTTAATTACGTATAAGTTTGTGTGTGCACACACATGTATACACTCACATGCATGTGGGTATGTGCACATGAGTGCAGGTGCCTGTAGAGGCATTTGATCCCCTGGAACTGGAGTTTCAGATGGTTGTAAGCCACCTCGTGGATGTTAAGATAGAGAAAGTTGTTCAGAGTCAAGCATACAGATTTATCTTCAGACAGTGCAGCCTGAGGATCCCTGGTTTTCATCACATCTCCTCTAAATTTCAAGCAGCTTGATGATCAGTGTATGCTATCCTAAAGACACTTTTTCATGGTCTGGTGTTTTTCCTCTTGTGCTGTTATCTCCTAGACAATTTAAAAGGCTCTGATGTTACTTGGGGAAGAAAATTAGAATTCATGGCACTTTTTCAAAGCCATTTAACATATGAGTTCCAAAACTGGTAGCCAGTTTCTCAGCTACATGAAAAATGCACTAGGATTTAGAACCGCCACACACATGCCTACACAAAATTTAATCCTGCCACCCATTCATGTAGCCAATAAATATTTACTGTGCTCCTAAAAATCAAATAACCAGACTTTTTACATGGTTTTGAGGCTAAAGTACACAAAACAACTCCTTAGTCTCGTGGAGTCTAGTCAACTGGTGCGAGACTAAAAAACTAAACTCAACCTATAGTAATGCCAGAGAAATAAGAGAAAGAGACTAGGAGAAAAAGTTTCAAAGTACTCAAGAAGATGAAGCAGAAGCATTAAGAATTCAAAACTGAGTCTGGTGATGGTAGCACACGCCTTTAATCCCAGCACTTGGAAGGCAGAGGCAGGTGGATCTCTGTGAGTCACTACAGAGTGAGTTCCAGGACAGCCAGGGCTGCTACACAGAGAAGCCCTATTTTGATGGGGGGAAAAAGAGAATTCAAGGCCATCTTGAGCTGTATAGGCCTTATTCAAAACAAAAATGGTGTGTGTGTGTGTGTGTGTGTGTGTGTGTGTGTGTGTGTGAGAGAGAGAGAGAGAGAGAGAGCGCGCTCTAATATTTGAAGTTAGTAAATGAACATGACTGGTTGACTTAAGACTGTTAGGTAGAAGAAGTATGATTGTTGAAGCAGCTACAGGAAAGGCCAGTGTATCAAAGCAAAGTATGGAAATGAGGGGAATAGCAGGAAATGAGAGATTATGGGAGGAGCCACTACAGGATGGATCCTAGGTCTTGCCTTATAGGTCAACGGAGAAACACAATAGGGCATTGGCAAGTCCAAGTAACTTCTTGGTCATTGTCCATTTTAAAGATGAACTGCAAAGCTATGATTATCAGAGTTGATAGTAATTTTTTTTTTTTTTCAAAGAACACGGGGAGATCGGCAGACAAGGTGGCAATACCTTTAATCCGAGTGCTCAGGAGGGAGGCAGGAGCATCTCTATTTGTTTGAGGCCAGCCTGGTCTACAAAGTGAGTTCTAGGGTAGCCAGGGCTACATAGTGAGACCCTGTGCGGTGGGGGGGGGGGGGGAGAAAAGAAATGAATCCATCATTTAAGCAGATAGGTCATTATCTGCAATTCTTTTGATTAATTTAGGCCAGCTGCAGCAAGTCATATGGGGACAGCCCACCAACAAGGATTACGTTCCTTAAGCATGGTCCTGAGGTCCTGGTGCGCGGAGAAGGCGGGCTTTACAGAAGAATTTGTTTAGTTAGTGCCGACGTGTAGCCGAAGGTCGGCAGCCTTCCGCTTCCAAAATGCTGCAGCTGCCCTGAGGTCTCTCTCTTTCTCCAGAGGTCCGCTGTAGATGCTCAGGGGTCCCCTGTGAAAGCTCCCTTTGCAGCTGGTTCCCGGGCATGCTAGGGCTTTGCGGCACTGGCTGCCTCCGACTCCCGGCATGCCATTGGGCGTGGGCCGAGTGTAGACTACATTTCCCAGGCTGCCCCGGGCCCCAGCCGCGACGCGCCGGCGCCTATAAGAGGCAGAGCGCTGCAGCCGGAGCCTATTGTTAGCCGGAGCCGGGGCGGTTCTGGGCTTTGCTGCCCGGGGTACCCGAGTGCAGAGCCGCCCGTCCCCCGCCGCCTGCCGGCCGGCCGGCCCGCCGGCCCACACACCCTGCAACCCCGGGAGATAGCTACACAACGAGCCCAGAAACCGACCAGCACGCCTCGGTCTTACCTCCTTGCACCTGGGCTGAGGCGGCAGCGGGGGCGGCGGAGACCGTGACGGGAGAGGCGGCCGCGGCGGGGCCGGTAATGGGCCTGGGGTGCGGGGCGGAGGGGTCCGCCTTGTCCTCACCGTGCAGCAGCTCCCAGGCTGTGGAGGGGCAGCGCTCCGGCGCAGAGCCGTGCGGAGCGAGGGGGCGGGGGGCGGGGAGCCGGGGCGCCTCTGGGAAGAGGCGTGGGAGCGAGGGGCTCCGGGGACGCTGGTCGGGCTGCAGTCTAGCTAGCTAGAGGGACGGCCGGGCCGACTCGGAAGCCGGCGGGATTGCGGCTGACTGCTGACTTCGGGATGAAGTGGGCAGTGATGTAGGATGGAGGGAAGTGAAGGGAGGGGAGGGGAACCGGAGGAAAATGTGGGAGGAGTGGTTGGGAATTTGTGAGTAGCGGGCAGGAGGATGTGAAAGGCTGTGTAGGGACTGCGGACGATCGGAATGAGCGGGAAGGCTAGCTGGAATCAATGGGTTGAGAGCCGAAAAGGGTTCCTCAGCTGTGTTACGGGGACTGGTGACTTGACAATGTTCTTTCTGCTCTGGTTCCTGATGTCTCCCCCCCCCCCTTTTTCCCCCTGGCGTTGTGTTCAAAAATGAGAGCATCTCTTGTCCTGGTTGCTAGCTTGATCTTTTTTTTTCAGGCCCTAACATGCAGCCTCCTGCCATCCATCCCCACTTGAGTGCTATGGTCTTGGCTCATCCTTTTTAGAAGGGTTAAGAGTGGCGATGTGACATACAAACTGTTCTTCAGTATGAAAGGTTAGAAGTTCTTCCCAAGAGACAACATTGTTCTCCTTGTCCTCCAGTTTTCAGTTCATGGTAAAACCGCAGCCGATTCGCATATTCTACTTTACTTTGGTGGCTTTAAATCTTACAAATCTGTAAAACCAGGATGTTGTTATGTGGCAGTTATAAATGACACTGTCCTTTACAGGAGAGTTAATGCAGCATCATGTTCCAAGGCTCCCACAAAGATCTTGTGTCTTCCCTAGGATGTGGCTTACGTGTGGAAAGCCAAATTCCAACCTAGTGTTAGTAAAGGGCTAGAAGCCTGGGAGTGGAGGACCGAAGGGGCCTTCTTTGAACAGCTAGCTTAAACAGGAGGCTTTCAGTGAGGACCTCAAGGGCTTCTCCAATCTCATGAGCTTGGTGATCACAAGGACACATGAAGCCATAAAATTGTAGTATTTGAGAATCACCCACAGTGTTTTGAAAAGGAAAGCAGGGTAGGGCATCCAAGCTTTCTACCCCTACCTCTACCCCAGTTAATAGTGTAAGGGATTCCTTGACCTTTAGCAAAACATTGGGTTCTAATTGAATGGAAAGGCTTTCTTTCCTGTGAGATGAACCTTGTCTTAGGATTTTGGACTCATTTCAGAAAAAAGACTCACATACTCAGACTTTACAGATACACTCTGTGTCCATAGTTTTCCCCGAACTGTCCCACTTTTATTTGTTTGTTTATTATTTATTTTGAGGCAGTGTCCCTCTGCATAGGCTATCTGAGGACTCACTATTTAGAGCAGGCTGGCCTGGAACTCACAGAGATCCACCTGCCTCTGCCTCCTGAATGCTGGGATTAAAGGCCTGCTTGCCACACCCAGATTTTGCTATTCTTACATAATTTGGAATTTGAGGTTTTCGGTCCTCATCAGCCTGAAGAAAGCTTAGATCTAGTACTGAAATACAAGTGCTGGTTTTATTTGGTGCTGGTCTAATGTCTTCTATGTACTGTAGCTATGAACCTTAGGGAAATGTTCAGCTAGAAACACTTAACAAAACACCATAAAGCAAGTAGTCAGAATGTGTCAGCTGACTCTTCATTTCACTGCATGTAAAAGCTTTTATAGAGAGATACCAATATTTGTCATTTGAAATGTTCATTTAGACAGTTAAGTGTTCTGACCTGAATTTTTAGTCTCACTGTGGTTATTTCTATATATGTTTGAGTGCTTGGATATAACCCCTAAAGTGGAGGGGTAGGGGTTGAGACAGGGTTTCATGTAGCCTTGGATAACCTCCTGCATATAAGTTCTGGGATTACATGTATGTGCAATCAGGTAAGGGTTAAAGAGTATCTTCTGAATTCAGGTGTTGATCTTTTACCAGTGGTTAAAGGAATAGTTGAGCCAGTGACTAATTCTTAATAGAACCTGTTCAAGTTGTTACTATAGTACTACATGAGTTCTTCAGGGCAGTGTGGGACTAACTAGGTGGGAGGTTCATGGTTCACACCAGAGAGCTGGAGGAGGAGAGCTGAGTTGAAATATAAGCTTACATTGTTTGCCAGGAGATGATAGAAATGTAAGTTTTCAGTGCTGGGGGACTGCACTTGGTGCACACCTGCGCTCCCAGCACTTGGGAGGCTGAAGCAAGAGGACCGCTGTGAGCTCCACACCACTCTCCAGAGCCAAGCTGGGCTGCATAGCTAGACTTAAACCATTTTAAACACCAGGTAGTTTTACAGGAAATATTGCTAACATCCTGAGTAAGGTGAAGAGAGCTAGAACAGTGGCATCTCAAGAATATTCCAGCGTGTCGTCTGTGAATGGTTTTTACTTACTTCATGGCGCTGGGAATTGAAGCTAGGGAAGGCTTCTGGCATGGTGGGCAGCCACTGTACTCCGAGCTACATCCCCAGCCCTTTAACAGAATTGGTCAGACAGATCAGTATACACATTAGTTACACATGAAGACCTGATTAGTGGAGCTTAAGGAAATTACTTTTCCTTACGTTTTACAGCTTTCCCCTCCCCCTTTCTTTCTTACCTACCTGTGTCATTGCCCAAACCAACCCCAGAAGTGAGAAGATGAAGAGGCTTAGAGCAAGCAGCCAGCATTGGGGTACAAAGTAACCCTGATGAAAGGGTACTCTTGAGGAAAGCTGGGTTAAGATAAGGAAGAATTTTAGTAATAAAGACGGCTTTGGCCCAGATCCAAGTTCATGTGAGACTTAAAGAGTAATAGTCAAAGGAAATCCACACTACCGGAAGCAAAGGATCCAGAGGAAAGAGCAGAGTGCACATTTGCTTCCAATCATAAATCCCTGAGTGCTTCCAGGCTGAGGAGCTGCCATTTTTCTACAAGTATTAACTGGAGCTCAATCATATTGCAGGGTACCTAAGTCTTTTCCCAGAGAGCAGGCTTTCTGCTCAGTGTTGGTTTCTTGGAGTTAGGAAGGCACTAGTGGTGTGTATGGTTGCCTTTTCCTCTGTAGTATCCACATGAACATTTAATGACAAAGGTGCCTTGCCCCCCACCCCCACCCCGTCATGCTCCTTCACCCAAAATAGAATGGAATGACACATTTGTTAGCTGAAAGGTATCATCTTTAAGCCCAGCTAAACTCAACCCATAGAAAGTCCCTCTTGTTGTTTCTAAGAAGGTGACCTGTGGTCAGACCCAAGGATCACAGCAACACTGATTTGAATCTTTTAAATCATTTTTAGGTTTCATTTTATGTGAATAGGCATCTTTATCTTTATCTGCATGTGTGTCTGTTTACCACTGTATGCCTAGTGGCTAAAGAGGCCAGTAGAGGGTTACAGACTCCCTGAAACTGAAGTTAGAGGGTTGGATGCTGGAACTGAACCCAGGTACTTTGGAAAAGCAGCTAGCACTCAACTGCTGATGGCCAGCCCCCCCACTTTTTTTAAAGCATACATACTTTTATCTATATATAGTTTCTATGTAGCCCTGGCTGGCCTAGAACTCAGTTATATAGATTAGGCTGGCCTAGAACTCACAGAGCTCCATTGCCTATGCCTTTGAATGCTGAGATTAATATTATATTATTATATTAATATTATAGTTCTTTTGTGTTTGTTTTTAGAGACAGAGTTTCTCTGTATAGCTGTCCTGAAACTTACTCTGTAGACCTGGCTGGCCTTGAACTTGCAGAGATCCACCTGCCTCTTCCTCCTGAGTGTTGGGATTAAAGGTGCTTGCTACCATGCCCAGCTCCTTGATTTTAAATTTTTTTCTTAGCCACACTTGTTTGCGGGATGTGCTTGTCTGAAACCTATGAAAGCTAAGGTGGTTCACTTCATCTAGAGACTTGAATGCAGGACTTTTATGTGATCTGAGTATGTATTTTAGGAAATCGCTGAAGCATGCACCATGTCTGGTTAACTTTGTAGTGCTGATCTAAATTGCTACTAAAAGATGTAGTCTAGAAAACCAGGACTGCAACAGACATCTCTTGTCTCCACAGTGAATTCTGGGTAGCTGCTCTGCAGTAATGCATTGAGTCTCCTGGGCAGTGCTATTAATCCTGCCTCACAATTAGCAACCAGTGAGATCATAGTGTGGGAAGTGTCTTACCCAGATGAATATGGGTTTGGCTCTGATAGCATTTCTCTAGCATTTCTCTCGTACAAATTCATGTCCTTTTGGAATTTAAGTCCAAAGACAGGGAAGGAGAAAGACTTATGCCTGCTGTGGAACCAGGATTAATTGTCACTTCTTTTTCTGTTTTCCCTTGATGGTTTCTTTTTAGAGGACAGAGATTGTAAAACTCTGTTTTCTTCTTTGCATAGGGAATGATGAGAGACCAACATAAGGTTGAGAAAGAGTCTGGTTTTTGTTTCGTTTGTGGTGCTGGGATCAAACCCAGGGCCTTGTGTGTACTAGGCAAGCACTCTGCCACAGGGCTACACCCACAGCCCTGCTTTCTGGGTTTTGAAGCTGGTACAGATTCTAATCTTGGCTCCTTTCTTTAGTACTAAATTTGCCCTTTCTGGGAGCCTGGTGAGACACTTCACACTTGTGAAGATCTGGGTCAAGGGTTTTCCTGACTGCCAATGTCCTTCAAAATTGAGAGCCTGGAGCAGAATTTCCCCAAGTGTGTTCCAGAGATTATCTACCCCCTAACATACTTTGGAAACAGTGGGTTCCATAATCAGGTTGTGAAACCCTGCATTGTTTTCTTCCCAGCTTTTGCCATTCGTGCTCATAAGTATATTAAAATCCCTAAGAGGTTCTTCCATAAGTGGTTTTATAAACTATTTTAACAGCAGTCCTATTTTCATTCAAAAGGCTATTAATATCCATAGAACTAGTGTATTTAAGATATACACTTGGGGAAATGCCAGCCTATGTTATCACTGGGTCTGGCTTTGGTTTAGGCAAAGGCTCTGCTGTTTTTGGTTTAGTCTTTCCCATGAGCCCTTAGAGTGCTCTCCTGTATGATTGGAAGAAAAGTGAGTGGTAGCCTGGGCCAGTGACTCTGTGTGGCCAGTAGGATTGGAAGTGAGGCCATTCCTCCCCTGAGAAGTGCTGCTGCAGATTTGTTCTAAGAGTAACTAAGGCAGCCTGGCAGTGGTGGTGAATGCCTTTAATCCCTGCACTTGGGCAAGCAGAGGCAGGCAGGTCTCTGTAAGTTTGAGGTCAGCCTGGTCTACAGAGCGAGATCCAGGAAAGGTTCCAAAGCAATACAGAGAAACCCTGTCTGGAAAAACCAAAAAAAAAAAAAAAAAAAAAAAAAAAAGAGTAACTAAGGCTGGAGGAGCTAAAGAGAGTTGAGTAAAAATGCTGGTCAGAGTCAAAAAGAAATGACCTGGTCCTGAGAAGCCAGACTGGTGCTAGGCCAGGTGCTTAGCTTTCCTTCAGTTAGAGCAATGTGTTTACAGACTTAGAGGGACCTGCTGTCTCGGGACAGCATTGCTGACTCTTCTTCTCCCCTGGGCAGAATCCTAATGCTCCTGGCTACCTGGTGGTGAGTGGCTCCGGGGCATTTGTGGTTGGCTCCCTGAGGAAACCTTTTGAAGCCAATGGATGCATTCTCGGGCTCGGGGCTCAAGAGGAAATTCGATGATGTGGATGTGGGCTCATCAGTTTCCAACTCAGATGATGAGATCTCCAGCAGTGACAGTGCTGACAGCTGTGACAGCCTCAACCCTCCTACAACTGCCAGCTTCACACGTGAGTGAGCCGTTCCCTTCCTGCCTGCACCCGTGTTCCCCAGAGAACCCTACAGCCTGAGGCCGCTTCTGTCCATCCTGGAGACTTGCCCTTTACGAAGAGTGTCCTTGATTTTTGGAAAACCTCACTGCTCTAGTAGCATAGGCTGAAGTCTGATTTATTCTAGTCTTGTGGTTTGTGGTGCCCAAGCATGGGTGGGATGTGATAGAGAAGGAGGCGCTCAGAATTCTACTTTTGCCTCACAGGACTTGCCCAGAGGTTCAAGAAATTGTAACTGGAGCAGGAGTAGATGTTTACTTTGGACACTGTGGCACCTCCAAATCTCTTCATTCCTTTTGTTTCCATCCCATAGATCCCCTAGGGTTTGAGCCCTGAAACGAAAGTCCTGAGGTACTGGTACTATTGGTTCAACTCAGGGCAGCTTTTCCAATGACACCTAGATGAGCATAGTGGAGTTCCCCCAGCTCTCAAGTTGTCCTGTAGAGAGCCTCTAATAGTGAGGGTCAGGGGTTGTCTGAACTAAATTGGGCCTACTGCTTGTTTCTGTGGCTTTGTTGGAACAGTCACACCCATTGTTGTGCTTGTCTTTACGCACTGGCAGCATGCTTGCACAGTTGCAACATAGACCTCATGCCCTAAAGAGCCTAAAATATTTATCCTCAGGCCTGTAGGGGAAACGGTCCTTGTCGGCAGTCCCCTGGTAGCTCTTAGTCATGTGTGGCTAGTGAAATACAAACCAAAGAGTAGAATTTTTTAAATTGAGTTTTAATTAGTTTAAATTATCCTGTGGCAATTTTCTTTTCTCCTGAAAAGAACACCTAGCGTTTTCCAGTTGCTGTCTAAAAATAGATTTTGTGGCCATCTCTTTAGATGAAGGCAGTCTGGGGGCAGTGGTATGAGCCAGCTGAGGTCCAAGACTCTTTTCAGTTTTGCACATGACCTAGGACTTGGAAATAGTCTCACATTTAGGACTGAGTTAAGAGCCTAGATGAATAAGAGCAGGTGAGAGCCCTGACTGAGCAAGCAGTCTCGGGGTCAGGAACCATGTGTTCTGTTCACAGCCACATCCATCCTGAAGCGGCAGAAGCAGCTGCGGAGGAAGAATGTCCGCTTTGACCAGGTGACTGTGTACTACTTTGCCCGGCGGCAGGGTTTCACCAGTGTGCCCAGCCAGGGTGGAAGTTCTTTGGGAATGGCCCAGCGCCATAACTCTGTACGCAGCTACACCCTTTGTGAGTTTGCACAAGAACAAGAGGTGAACCATAGAGAGATTCTTCGTGAGCACCTGAAGGAAGAGAAACTTCATGCCAAGAAAATGAAGGTGCATATGGGGCCTGGGGCCTGGGGCTTCCCTCATGCTGAGGTCAAAAGGAACCCACTGTGCCCGTTGATGCTGTTTTCTTTAGTGGTGTTGGTGATCAGGGAGTGCTATTTGTCGTTTTAATGAGAAGTCTCAGATTTTCAGTCAGCTCTTAGTCTGAGTCTCCCTTGTCATCTCTGGTGGCACTGGCACCCAGAGATAAACAAAAAACTACTTTCCCTTCACTGTCCCTTTCCTCCTATCACAGCAAGGCTTTCTAATACAATGTGAACACCTGAAACTTCTCAAGTCAATCACCAGGAAAACACCGATTTCAATTTATCATTGATTGTCCTTGTCCACATGAGTAGAACAGAACAGGT